GAAGGCCAGGAGTGGTTCCTAGGACCCCTCCTTCCACACCGTCAGGTGGAAGGAGACGGGCGCGTTGTGCACGTGATCGCCGTTCCCATCGTCCTCAGCGGCACGCAACCCTGTGCGCCCACCTTCATTGCACGTGTGTGCCTGAGAGAGAGGTGCAGCATTGTACCCTTAAGTTCGTAAAAAAGGTGTGTCTCTTCCTACTTCTGCAGCGCTCTGCGCCCCCTCGTCCGTCCCCGCAGTTTCCCGCAGGCCCCGTGTCGGCTCAGTGACGGTTGGGACGCGCACAGACCCTGATCTTAAGGCCCCGTGATGTTCAGCGCGCACTGCTCTTTGGAGCGGTACTTTTCCCCTTCCCAATCTGGGGCGAGACGGGTTCTTGGCACGGGCATCCAAGTGGGGTGTGTGGGAGGCCGAAACGTGGCCGCCCTCCTCCAGAGCCCGCGGATCCCTGTCCGCTCCCCTTCGAGAGCAGACGCAGCTGCCAGGGGAAGCGAGGTGGAAAAGGTGAGTCATTGCAGGCAGGCAGGTGAGGGGCGGGGAAGCCGAACCTGCTCCCATTATTCCCGGGAGCTTGTCTTAGAGGAACCGCATCGTGGCAGCCAAGCAGCGGAGGAGGCGTTGCGAAATGTTGGCTGCCCCCATGGCAAGGCTGGTGGGGCTGAGTCGCCATTTGGGGCAGAACGCGGGCGGCACAAGCCCTGGGACCGGGCCCGTTTCTCCCCCACAATGGGAAGCAGGTGTTCGGAGGGGATCCAGGAGGCCTGGGGGGTTAGCCGGCCCCTGGCCCGTTTTCATCCATTCACTGGGGCAGGGCTGCATCTTACTCCTGGGCTTTCATTTTGACCTTTGCCAAAACGGATTCGTAAACGGATTTTTTAGGAATCCGGTGCACGGTGAAGCTCAGGGCAAACACTGGAGAGCTGGTTAAGGCCAAAATCTGTCTAGTTGCACCTCCTTTGCACACAACGGCTGGCCAGGCCTGTCTCCGTTGCTCAGCATCCATGAGGACTAGTGGCTTGTGTTCACTTAGTAGCCAGCCAGCTGCGTGATGCAGCTCACATGCCAACGTGCCTTCCGTGTGACTTCGGCACTACAACCCTCCGTGTGGGTGTTTCTATAAGATAGGAAATACTTAAACTCCACAGCACTGTTTCAAAGCTTTTTGCATTCGTCCAAGGACGATAAAATCTTAGTTGAATATTCTGTTGGAGTTAGAGAGTTCAGAAGGTTGCAAAGAAAAAAGGAACACCACCACCACCACCAGAAAACAGCAATTGAAAACAGACACATTTAGGGTGTTTGTGGTATCTCTCACAAACAAGGTTTGCCTCAACATGACCAGTTGCTCTTGGGCAAAATCTTGGAGGAGAAGGGCTGCCAGCTGCTTTTGGTGGTCCGTACTGCACCTCGTGGGAGCAAGAAGTCGCGTGTTTAACCATGATTTCGTCTTGGGTGACCGGGGGTAGGCGAGGTCAAGAGCCCATGACTGGCTGAGCGGGGACCAGTACCCGGCTCTCCCAAGGCCCAGGCAGAACTCTAACCACTCTGCTGCTCTGCCTCCCGCTGTGGCCGTCCCCCCCTCAGAGGCAGCGTGCTGGCGGATCCTAGCCACCCCACCCAGCCTGGAGCCAGCAGTGTCCTCCTCGGGGCTCGCTGGGTACCAAAGGGAGAGAGAAGCATCCTTCCTCCCCGGGGACCGCCTGGCGGGGCTGGTGTCGCCCCGGGCGACCGGGCTGGGCGGCCGCATCCTGTCACTCACGCACGCCCCATGTCAGCGGGTCCCTGCCTGGCTGCCAGTCGCGGAAACCGCATCCGTGGGATGCAGGAGGCGGCGGTTGCCGTGGTGACAGTGCAGGGGGGGCTTCGAGGCAGCAGGAGGCGCAGCGGCAGCGCAAGGAAGGGGGAGGCGGTTTGGGGGCTTCTGTGGGGGGCTTTGCACCATGGACCCCGCTTTCTTGGCTGTGGGAGTGCCCCCCCCGGGCCCAGGGAGGCCTGAAGGAGAGCCCCCCCGGAGAAATTTAGCAGGGCTAAGGCGAGGCCAGGCGCCTGCAAGGCCTCAGGTGGTCCGTTTACCTTAAGCAGACCGTTCTCTTCTGCCCTTCAGTCCTTGGCTGCTCGTAACACAATTTTCAGCCCGTCTTTTGTTTGGTTAAGGGTTTTCACGCCTCCAGTAATCGGTCCAATTTCCCCCCATCTGGCGAGGTGTGTGTAATACTATTTATTAATGTGTGGATTTCACAGGGTGCAAGAATCCTAGGAAGTGCATGCTTGGTGTGTGCAGGAAAAGGGGGGAACAGACATGTCCGCCCCCTTTAAAATTCTGGCTTCAGCATCAGAAATAAATACTCGCTGCCAAAGAGGTGGAAATACTCCCCAGGTTCAAGATATTATTATTATTATTATTATTATTATTATTAGAAAATTTCTATGCCGCCCCTTGCCGAAGCCTCGGGGCAGCTTACAACACAATAAAATACAATAAAATACAAAAATAACCATATAAAATTAAAATTAACAATATAAAATAAATAAAAATATAAAAGATATTCTGCTCCCTTTCCCCTTAAATTCAGAATTTCGGTAGTGGCGATCTGCTTGCATCAGCTATTGCTCAGTTTCTTCTCCCACACACTTTATTGTGATTATTTAATTAATATGAGGGTGATGGATTTATTTTTATACTGCCCAATAGCCACTCTGGGTGACTTGCAATATTTCATAAAATACATGAAAATACAGATCATTCCTGTTGGGAAGAAACCGTCCTGGGCTTTGTGGCACTTTTCATTCTTCTCCGAAGAAAAGCATTTGTAATGCAAACTTTCCAGCCTTCATTTCCCCAGAAGAGAGCAGAAAGGGACAGAGTTGGACACCAAACTTGTGTGATTTGCATGCTTCATAGGTTGTGTATTTGCGTGCGTCACGTGCTAAAAGCTTTTCAACCCAGTACGGGAACCTCTTCTGAGAGAGCGCTTTCCAACTCCTTTCTAAGCTTGTGCATTTGATTCCGGTAACGTGAGGGAGACAGAAAAGTTATCTAAAGAATGCAGATGCAAGTTCGGCTTTGAATGGCGAAATCAGAGCATTTAAAAGGAACTAAAGATCATCTCCTTCTCTGTGGAAGGTCTCTCACTGTAACATTCCCGACAGGTGCTCCTTGCTTGAAAATTTCTCTCTGAAGCAGTGCGTTTTATTAGCAAAACCCTCATGATAGTAGCGAGTTTGTCCCTGATTTAGATCTCTTAAATAAGTGAGCCAAGCTGCATCTTGCTGGCGCTGGGGCCGTGAAGGGGGAAAATCGCAATCTCCATATCCAGAGTTTCTACCTAACCTGAAAGATGGAGAACTCTCTGTCCTCTGTGCCCCCACCTGCCCCCCACCCAAAGTTGGGCGCTTTCCATTTTGCGTGCCGATCACGACGTTGCTTGGCAGAATGCGCATTTCTGCTGCTGTTGTCGCTTGTCTTGGCTTTTGCCATAGCGGCACAAGCCCCGCATTTTCTGTTGCTCTTTCAAGAGGGAGCCACTGAGTGTTGTGAAAGCTGTGTGTGAACATGCAGCCCCGAAAATGAGGACAGATCCGTATACAGATGCCCATGACACGTTTCCCTGATTTTATCTCCGTTTCCCCCTATCCTCTTTCCTGCTGTGCTGCCACTAGGGATGGAGCTGGCATAAATAGTGCTTTCCCCGCTCCTAGTCTCACAACAGCCCTGCAGGGTCGGTCAAGCTGCAAGAAATAGTGACCGGCCACCGGCTGGGCTGTGCCATCTTCACCGTTTCGCCATTAGACCCACTTCCACTGCGGAGCCTTTGAGGTCGGTGCCAATGCCCAGTCTGTGTTCGCGCATCGAGGTCGGCTCCCCCCCCCCCCCCCCCCAAGGAGTGCTGATTAAATTATGCCATTAAGTAGAGACGCCTCATTAGCCAGATTCCTGGAAAACAGTCCCCGTCCCAGCTACTCCCCCCATGGCAGGTATCTCTGCCCTACTCTTGATGCGGGGTGGGGGCGCCCCCTTTCTTTTTCTTTCCCTTCAGGGAGGCTCTGATGGTGACCGGCGCCTGGCACAGCCAGCTGGCGCATGTCGGCAAGGGAATCAGGGCGGTGCGCAGGGATGCGTGCTTAATTGTGGAAAACTAGGGAAGTGTGTCAGACCGGAGGGGGCAGAGAGACAGAAGAGGGGGCACACGCTCGGCTGGGCAAGGAGGGGGCGACCGCGGGGGATAATGCACTTGCCGGGGGGCGGGTGTGGGGCACGGCACGCGGCCGTCTGCTTCCCCATCTCGCCACACGCCATTCCTCACGTCCCGAAAGGCTCGTCATGCGGAAGAGGCTGGCCAAGCCTTAGATGCTTTCTTCGGACCGTTACCGGCCGAGAGGGCTGGCCACGAAAATCAGGTTTAAGCTACAAGAAGGCAGGTTTCGGCCGGAGAAAATCTGGTGCATCAGGCCAGGGATTCTGCTGCTGCCCGAGGAGGTGTGGGGCTCTCAGTCGCGGGGGGGTTCCCGCAGAGAGCCCCCTGCCGGGGATGCTTGAAGCTGGAGCCCTGCTCTCGGCAGGGGGTTGGACTGGAGGGCCTCTGCGGCCCCTTCCAACGCGGTAACTGCGGGGTCTCTGCTTCAGCCTCCGCTTTGGCTCGGCCTGCTTTTGGGGAACTGGGGTGTCTGTTGCTCGGACTTCGTTCCCTTCCTTAGCGCCTTTCTGCAACCCGTCTTTGTTCTGTGAGCCCGACAGCAAAGGAACCCCCCCCCCCCGAGCCATTAGCTGCAGGGGTGCTGAGCATCCGTTCTGGGCCCCGATCCAGCCTGCTGGGGTTCCCCAAGGGACGGCGCCCCTTTTTCTCTGGCTGCCGGACCTTCGGTGGCTCCCTGCTTTCTGGGGCTCCAGTTCCCAGGCGGCGAAAGGTGAAAAGGGCCCTTTGTGTGTGGCAGAGACACAGCCACACCTGTGCCGTTTATCCCCGGGCCCGCCGGTGACCGATTTCTCTTTCTCTGGACAGATTTCAACTACGGCACGGAGGAGTATGATGCCGAGGGCAACGAGGAGCCCAAAGTCCCGCCCGGCGGCCCGGAGACTATGCCGTACATCGACGAATCGCCCACCATGTCGCCTCAGCTCAGCGCCCGCGGCCGGGAGGGTGGGGACGGCTCCGACGGGATCTCGCCCACGCCCACGGATGAGCTGAGCACCGTGGTAAGTGACTCCTTTGAGGAGAAGTGGCATTTCGTGGCCGAAGGCACGCCCTCCTCAGCACAACAGCCCTGCGAGGGAGGGAGACCCGGCGGCGTCCGGTGAGCTTCGTGGCCAGGTGAAGACTTGGATCCAGAGCTCGCGAGGCTGAGTCCCTCGCTTTTAACCGCTCTGCCAAAACGGCTCTCCTTGTGCCCAGCAGGGAAGCGAGGTGGATGGACTGGAGGGCGGGTGGTTTTTTGACCTCGGAGAAACCCTGCAGCTTGAGTGTGCCAGCAGGGTCTGGGCAGGATTCCTCCTCCCAGGTTGGAGAGGTTTTCCAGCCTCACATCTGGAAGTCCGGAATATCCTTTCCCCCCGGATGCTGTCTGGGACGTGCCATCGCTGCCGTTTCCAGCTGACTAAGCCCTTGCAGAACCTAGAGCCGCTTTGCATTCATGTGGGTAAAACCACACGCAAACACACCCCATAGAATTTGAACCTGCTTAGGGGCCAGGCTGGCGTCGTGGCTGAGTTTAAAACCTGGCCGTGGCCGTTTTCATTTAAAGTGCGTGTCCCAGAATCGGGGCACAAATCAGTCTTAGAAACAGTGGAAAAAAGAGACAATAATCGGAAGCTGAAACTGAGGAAGGACTCATCTCGCCGATGGGAGAGGGCCGGGAGCGCCGTGTGGGCCGGGAGCGCCCCTCACCGGGCTGGCCGGTGCGGTGTGCGTTTCGACGTGTGTCGTGCGACTCGGGGACAGTGTCCTGCCGCCGTGGGGTGAGGCGTGTCAGCACGGCGAGCTGCTTCAGCGGTGCAAGGGCTTTAGAAGTGCCCGTGTCGCATCGCTCTGTTTGGCTCAGCATTTCCTCACCATCTGGCACCGTTTCAGCAATATGCCGTGCGCAGAGCTTTTCGTTGGCCACCTGCGATTCTTAAAAACAAATGCTAGTATTAACCGCAGCGCACCTGTGTGCGTGACCGACACATCTTAACAATTGGGCTTCTTTCGAAGCGGGCTGCCGCCCGCAAAACCTTACCCCGTAGCAGAGCCGGGAGATTGCTGGCCATTTTCAAAATTTACGACATAGTTGTGCGAGAGAAATTCCAGGGACACAGGCGAAAGGCCCCCTGGGATTTGCGGTTCTGTGCGAACGCGTCTCTCGGGTGGTCTCCATGATTTGGGGGACTTCTCCTGCAGAAGTTTTAAACGGCCGCACAGCTGCTCTGAGCAGGAGGTCGGGTGTCCGGCCTCGGGTGGCCCGGAGGCCTTCGGAATGGGCAGCTTCTCGTGGATACCGTTTTAGCATTTCCCTCGGGAGAGATGGCGCTGCGCTGCGCTCCACAGGCCAGGTTGTGTTCCCCGACCGAAGCGAGAGACTCGCCTCTCGGCCCTTCGGCTCCTTCGGCCAGAGACTCCCCGAAGAAAGCATTTGAGCGAGGGCAGCGGCTTCCAAGCCATGCCCGTTCTCGGTTTGTCGGGGGGTGCAGGGAGGGCTAAACTTCCCTTTTTTTTCACCTCCACTGGGATTGGGCTGCTTGTCCCACCTGGTGGCCATAGGTTGGCGTGCCCCCCCCCCCACAGGACATCTCCCTGAATCTGATTTACGAAAAATAGCTCACACGGGGGCTGCTTGTGTGGGGAGGCGAGGGGTGCGGGTTGGCCCACGGTGCTTTCCGTGGAGGGCGGGAGGTGGCGAGACCCTTCCGCACAAACACCCCACCCGGCCGGTCACAGACTCCCCTATCCCGGCCAAGACATAGCGAAGAGGATTTCTGCGCCTTGAAACCCGCCACTCCTCCTTCGGACCCCCCCCCCCGGCCAGCAGCCCTGTGCATTTAGCACGGGGCTTCCCACCCTACCTGCCTGGGGGACCCCCACGCAGCCTCCCCGGGGGGCCACCTCCCCCCCAACACACCTCCGCCAAACTGCTCCTGTCCCCCCAGGCCCTGCGCTGGCGCCTTCCCGCACTTTGTGCTGGCTTCTAGTCCTCAAGGAACTCCATCACTGAGCCCGAGCCTTTCCCTTGCACCTGCCCCCCATATCTCT